AAAAAATATCCTCAAAAGCGGCACCGGTAAAGCTGATGTCACCTCCATGATCGAAGACCTAGGCCTACTTAAGGCTGACTGCGACAAACCCCTCTTTACACAGGTCATGGTTTTGACCTTTAAGAGTCCAGAAACTGTATTGATTAAATAAGCCAGAGAATACACATTGCTTTCAACTGATGGTCTCCCCGTTCAGTCCACAAGCTTCGGCGCAATCTTATAATGACCTTTTATGCGCAAAAGTTTTGGAACGGTATTTTTAGCTTTTCCGAAGACACATAAAAGGGGAGAAGCTGGTCTTACGCGTCTGCCGGGTGGGGAGGGTAAAGAAGAGGTTGAAAATTAACCTTCTGGTATACACTACCCAAGAGGGGGTGGAACAGATTAAAGATAACCCTCAGGTATATACTACCCGAGAGGGTAGAGAAGAAATTCAAAATAACCCTCAGGTATATACTACCCAAGGGGGCAAAGGAGAGATTAAAAGTAACCCTCAGGTATATCCTACCCAAGAGGGTATAAGAGAGATTAAAAATAACCCTCAGATATACACTACCCAGGAAGGTATAGAAGAGATTAAAATTAATCCTCAGGTATACACTACCCAGGAGGGTACAGAAGATATTAAAAATAACCCTCAGGTACACACTCCCCAATAGGGTATAGAAGAGATTGAAAATAACCCTCGGGTATACACTACCCAGGAGGGTACAGAAGAGATTAAAAATAAGCCTTAGGTATACGCTACCCAAGAGAGTATAGAAGAGATTAAAAAAAACCCTCAGGTATACACTATCCAAGAAGGTATAGAAGAGATAAAAAATAACCCTGAGGTATATACTACCCAAAAGGGTATAGAACGGAATTAAAAAAAACCCTGAGGTATACACTACCCAAGAGAGTATAACAGAGATTAAAAATAACCCTCAGGTATACACTACCCAAGCGGGTATAGGAGAGATTATAAATAACTCTCAGGTATACACTACCCAAGAGGGTATGCGAGAGATTAAAAATAATCCTCAGGTATACACTCCCCAAGGAAGTATAGAACAGATTAAAGATAACCCTCAGATATACACTATCCAAGAGGGTGTGCAAGAGATTAAAAACAACCCTCAGGTATACACTACCCAAGAGAGTATGGAAGATATTAAAAATAACCCTCAGGTTTACACCACCTAAGAGGGTATAGAAGATATTAAAAACAGCCCTCAGGTATACACTACCGAAGAGGGTATAGAAGATATTGAAAACAACCCTCAGGTATACACTACCCAAAAGGGTATAGAACAGATTAAAAATAACCCTCAGGTATAAACTACCTATGAGGGTAGAGAAGATATCAAAAATAACCCTCAGGTATACATTACCCAAGACGGCACGACACGTAAACTAATTTTTATCAGGAGACCCTTCTTTGTCTGAACTCTTTGTTTTCACTAAAAGTTGAGGCATCCATTGTTAACTTATATGATTATTATCCTTTACTTGTTCCCGAATGTCGTTGTCAAGCTCGGCTATTCTTGATTGATATCTTTGCAATTTCCCATGATTTTTCGACTGGAGGCATTTTCCGCCTAAAGTGTACGGTCGAGAGCAATTTGATTTACCGCATCAACAACAGAATTATATTTTGAGACCTCGCGAATCCATCTGCTGGAATTCTCCCTGTCTAATTAGTCCGGCACAGAGACCCATTGAAGATATAACGTACACGTTGTTTGGTTACCTGGCGTTGAACGAACAGCCTTTGTTGGCGCGCTTAAGACCTGCTGGCGGGACAGAACGAATTGCAGTCATCGCGACGAAACAATTCGTTCTTTGCAAAAGCATTTGGCCTGATTTTACATTAACTTTTCGTTGGCACATACCAGTACTTTTTGACGTCAAGATTGGATCCCGTAACCATAGAAAGCTCAGCCGATCGATCGAGGACTTCGGCTTCCATGATGAGATCGCGCCAAGTAATTCCAATGCAACATTTATTGTGTTTTCGTAATTGAAATTCGAGCATTGCTGAAGTATTAATTGTTAGGTGAAGCTTTAACTTATGATCAACAGGTTTAAGTAACCGCATAGACACCTACGGACCGCAAGCGTTAATGTAATTATTACACTGATGACAGAAATATAACGTCTCCGTAGGATGCATGCTGTCAATTTTTTTCGGGGCCCAAAGCTGCTCATGAGTAAAGCTCGATTAATTCCCGATTTCCTAGAAAAGCTATATTTCGCGTCCGTTGGATACTTTGCTTGGTTACAAGATAAAAAAATGACTTCAAGTTTGAAAGCCACCTTTCTGTTGTAAAGCCAGAAAATTTGCAGCGAATATGAACCAGTCGACATAACTTTCTTCGTTTATTGAATTTTGCACCCAAAGGTCACTTTCACTTACTCAACGTTCAAATGTTCAGACATAATATTTCCATGCAGCAAAATGCTTATACTTAATATCTATTTGTCCAAACGTAAATGTTTTGATTAAAACGGTATTGCCACAACATACAATTTAAAAATTATGGAGCGGAAGAGCACTTAATTCGTAATCTGACATCTCACGACAAGTTTATTACATGGTAAGCGGCGGCATTAGTCGATGTAGAAACTCGAAACTCCGCTTTCAAAATCTTGACACCCCATCTTTCGCGGGGGTTTGCGAATGCTATCGCTCTACTCAGTTGCTCAAAGCATCATAAAACCATTTTTCTTCGGTTAATTTCAAGCCTTTTTCTCGGATTAAAGTCCTCTGAATCTCAACTCCTTGTCAGGATTCCCTGAAGTGGTTGGAAGCCCAAGTCAGAGGCTAAATTCATCTCAAGCGATTTCATTCAGTGGACATTTTGTCCTTTGATTGTTATACATTTTCTCATGAATAAGCTAAGTTCAGCTGAAGTCATGTTGCTTCATATATTATCTGCTAGTCTGATGCCTGATAAGTTTTCCTAATCACGTCACTTATCGACCAGATAACATGTTGTTGTTCAGGAAAATACAGTGTAAAGGATTAATTACGCGCGAATGCAGGAAGATGACATTTGTCATTCCTCTTATGGTTATTTGGTATCTATGACTCTTTAAAAGATAATGCATTATACACTCAAATATGTTGTTGTTGATTTCCCTCTCCTTCCCTAAATACTGATTCGGCATACTTGCATTTACATTTCGATTTACTGAATTTCATGTATAAAAAGTGAAAGAGGAAGCTGCACCTGATGACTAAATATAGTGGGAATAATCCGCCTAGAACTTACTAAATACCTTCCCCTTTACAAATAAGAAGTGCTCTTGTGCTGAATGCTTGAGGAAGTTGTTATTCAGTTAATGGCAAACAAAATTTAAAATATCAGATTGCATAGTTGGGATAGCTTGACCACAGATCAAACCACATGATTTTGGTAATGAGGTCGCTTTCAATAAACAAATTAATTCTTTTGAATGAATGCAAACTAGGTTACTATATCATACACCTACGCATACCTGTTGCTGCAAAAATACAGGAGACAAAAAGGACTTCTTTCGGCCATCGGTGCATTTTGTTCATTCAGCTGTCAGCTCCTTACTGCAAGTTTAGATTATCCGGCACAGACAGTTACTCTTTGTTACCGAGCTCTTAGCTTAAACGATCAATAAGTCCGAGACATACTTGATAAGCAAGGAATTAATAGCTTATCTAAACTGTTAAAGTGTTGTTTTGATATCTTGAAACATATGCCTTGGCAAACATGATCGAAAATGGAGCAGAAATGAGTAGGTAGAAAGGAAAGCAACCATGTTTCGAGGAAAAAAAAACACACTTGAGGCGGTTCTAGGAATTTTTGTCTCGTTTACATTTTAGGAGAAAGTCAATCAACCATTCGATCCGGTTATTTTGGTATACCCTCTAAGCCATATTGACGTAAAGATTTATACTTGTTTTCGGGGGCTGTCATATTTTTCTTGGAATTGTGACGGAAATCGTTAGTCATGCCTTTGAATCAGTCAACTGAGTGTTTTACATTGTTTTGCTGTTTGATATTTGCATTGGCTTCGATTCAAAGTTTTGTAAAGTGAAAGTAACACACTGTCTAGCAGTAAAGCCACTCAATAAAAGGAAGTTGCAGCCTTCCAGCTGCCACCATTTTCCTTTTACAGTGTTCCAGTTAAATGGAAAAATCTCTCAACACACAAAAATCTGTAGATAAATAACAGTTCAATTGTATAAGGAAAAGCAGTCCTGATTTCAGTTTCCGGCCTGAGTGAATAAGCAAAGTTTCGTAAACAACTTAACTGTATCAGTTTCCTAACAAGGCAGTGATCACGGTTCATCTTTTATCAATGAAACTTTCTTAAGGTTTTTTCTCGCCGATAGATGCACATGACCCGCATGTGTTTTATTGGTATCAATAATATCGGGCAGTATAATATTATAACCATTAATTTTAGCAAAATTCAGGAGTAAGCACCGGCAAATCCCAGTAAAGATTTCTTGAACATTTGCATATAGTCGAAATTCATTTTTCTCAAGCGCCACACTTCACTAGCCCTACATGGCGCTGTATAATACTACTGAATCTGCATAACCTGCACAGAAGAACATGTACCATCGAACAGATACATCATTAGCTTAGTTTTAATCAATGCTACCGGTGATAATTGTCTAATATAGCTTCAGTCCACGCAGCCACTGAGTATGTCCCATCCTATACCTATACGTTTTATGCCGCAAGGCCAGTCAAGGAGCCGGCTGTTTTAAGATCTTTCCAGATGATTCGAACTCTTGTAACTCAGGTAATCCTTCGTGTAGCTCGGTGCAAGTCCACTCAGAGCCTAAGAATAATGTCTTGATCATGTTGATTTGGTTATGTCTGCGTGCTATTCTTAGAATCTCGTGTTGTTAACTAATTATCATAAAAGATATTGATCAGGATCATTGTTTTATGTTATGCAACTTTTGCTATATCAGAGCACAACTATACGAAAGTGTAGGTCCTAAAGTAACACCTCTTTATGAGTAATTGATCGATTGACAAGCGGTGGATGCATCAGATGCTGGGCTTGACGACAGGCTTTGGAATGGAAACGACCCCTTAAGCCTTTTTAAGCCCATCTGCTCAATCATGCACATCGCGTGATTTCTCGGAAACATGGAAAGCTTTTGAGTCACTGCCAATGCTATGCTGTGTTCATTGAAAAGTCATCTCTCCATTCAAATTTCTGAATCGTAAAGATAAGCTTGCTGTTGGCTGGGTGTATTTTCGAGTTTTTTTGCTCAGTTTCTGAAGAGGGAAAGACCAAGTTTGAATACACAAGGATATACAAAGCAGCAGCATTTGTTTATCGTAACGATGAAAGCATTTAAACTTTCGAACCTTTTACGTAGTGATTCAGTGCCTCCCAGGTAAGTTTAACATTAAATTGTCGTTGTTGTGTTGAGAATTCGAACGCTATTGAAGATATTATCCACCCTACGTTATACTTTGGAATAACCGAGCATTTTGGCGGCGAACATTTTAATAAGGAAACTGAAAAACACAAAACCTACAGTTCTCGATATTCTAAAGTTGATTGCGGAGCGAGAGATTCAATATCCTCAAAAGACCTGGTTAAACTGCAATTTAAAATGCCCCTCTTAGTCACAAGCGAACTAGTGAAAGTGAAGGTCATAGCACGGCATGTTTTTCGCTTTGAATACGACGCCGGTTTACTAGCAAACCAGATCAATGTAAATTAAATGGCTTTTGTGAAGAAATCTGAAAGCGAATGTCGCTTAATGCAGAAGCAAACATCCCTTCTGTTGTTGTTTTATATTTTCGGCCGAAAGTTTCTATCGTAGTACACCGTAAAAGGGCGATATGAATGTTTTCGAGGTACTCTACAAGAACCAAAACAAATTCTGGCTTCAGTACACAGTTAATGCTTTTAATTTCGTATGCATTAGTTCCGAGAAAGTGCTCTTGTAATCAATTGATATACCTGGAGCGAATGGATCACCGCAGACGAATATAATGAGGTTCGGATTCTTAGAAAATTTTGAGCGTCTTATAAATGCTTTTGATATAACAATACCGCTTTTCTTGTCATAACAAGATATTATTTTAAAACGTGCTTTATCTATTGCCCACCAGAAAGATGCATTATACGTTCAGATCAACCACCTTTGTAATGCTTTGAAGCATAAAATATTTCCAAATACTATTATTTTCCCAAGTTCTTTTAAAGGAATAATGTCTTAAAAACGGCCATCGATCCTTAAGAAAAAAGAAAGAGATAAGTGCGAAATTTTATCAACATTTCTAAGTAGTAACGTTTGACAGACTCCCGATTTCCTACAAATGAAGAGGTCCAGTTCAAGGTGAACTAAAGCTATATTTCGCATCTTTTAGATGCCTTGCTTAGCTATAAGATAAGAAAATTGTATCAAGTTTGAAAGCCACCTTTCTGTTGGAAAGCCAGGAAATTTGCAGCGAACATGGAACAGTCACGACATAATTTTCTTCGTTTCTTGAATTTTGTACCTAAAGGTCTCGAAAAGGTCACTTTCAATTAGTCTGTAAACGGATGCTCAGACATGGCAAAATGCTTGTACTAAATATCGATTTGTCTAAACAGAAATGTTTTGATTCAAACGGTGTAGCCACAACATACAATTTAAAAATTATGGAGCGGAAGAGCACTTAATTCGTAATCTGACATTTCACGAAAAGCTTATTGCAGGGTAAGCGGCGGCACTAGTCTATGTAGAAACTCGAAACTCCGCTTTCAAAATCTCGAGACCCCAGCTTTCGCGGGGGTTTGCGAATGCTCTCGCTCTCCTTAGTTGCTCAAAGCATCTTAAAACCACTATTTGTTGATTAATTTCAAGCCTTTTTCTCGAATTATAGCACTTTGATTCTCGACTCCTTTGCCAGGATTCCCTGAAGTGGTTGGAGGCTAAATTCACCTCAAGATATCTCATTCTGTGGATATTATGTCCTCTGATTGTTATACATTTTCTCGCGAATAAGCTAAGTTCAGCTAAAGTTATGTTGCTTGATATATCATCTGCCATGCTAATACCTGTTAAGTTTGCCTATTCACATTTTCTTATCTACCAGATAACTTGTTGTTAAGGAAATTAAAGTGTAAAGGATTAATTACGCGCGAATGCAGGAAGATCACATTTAGCATTCCTTTTCTTGTTACTTGTTATCTATGACTCTTTGAAAGATAATGCATTATATACCTAGATATGTTATTGTTGTTGATTTCCTTCTCCTGCTCTAAATTCTGGTTCGGCATACTTGCATTTACATTTCGATTTACTGAATTTCATGTATACAAAGTGAAAGAGGAAGCTGCATTTGATACATACATACATACATACATACATACATACATACATACATACATACATACATACATACATACATACATACATACATACATACATAAGCTTTATTTATCCTTGGATTTCAGTGTAGCTTACAAGCTAGTATCTCCGATCCTAATTACTAATTTTAA